TGTCTCGAAAAAACAAAAACAAAGAAACAAACAAACAAACAAAAAAAAGTTTGCCTTGCAAGCAGAAGGGAGGATCCCTGTACCAGCCAGACTAGTTGAATCTAGGAACTCCAGGTTCAGAGACCTTGTCTTTTTTTTTTTATTATTATTATTTTTTATTTTTGAGACAGGGTTTCTCTGTGTAGTTTTGCACCTTTCCTGGAACTCACTTTGTAGACCAGGCTGGCCTCGAACTCACAGAGATCCGCCTGCCTCTGCCTTCCGAGTGCTGGGATTAAAGGCGTGTGCCACCACTGCCCGGCGAGACCTTGTCTTTAAAAATAAGGTAGATGGGGCTGGAGAGATGCCTCAGAGGTAAGAGCACTGGTTGCTGTTCCAGAGGTCCTGAGTTCAATTCCCAGCAACCACATGATGACTTACAACCATCTATAAGGAGATCTGGTGCCCTCTTCTGACCTGCAGGCACACATGCAGGCAGAACACTGTATACATAATAAAATAAATCTTAAAAAAAAAAAAGAAAAAAAAAAAAAGGTAGAGATGGGGCTGGAGAGATGGCTCAGTGGTTAAAAGCACTGTTCTGGGTTCAATTCCCAGCACCTACATGGCAGCTCACAACTGTAATTCCAGTTCCAGGGGACCTGACACTCATGGCAACATACCAATGGACATAAAATAAAAATAAATTTTTAAAAAAAAGGTAGAGATCTGGATAGTATTTTAGAGCACTGGCTGCTCTTCTAGAGGTCCGCACTGCAACCATATAGTGGCTCACAACCACCCTTGGTAATGAGATCTGGTGCCCTCTTCTGGCATGCAGGCAGACATACTGGCAGAACACTACATCCATAATAAACAAGCAAACAAATAAACAGATGGACAAATAGATAAGTGGATAAATAAATAAATAAAATAAAATAAATAAATAAATAATAGCTCTGTAGATGAGCTAACCTCAAACTAACACAGATCCACCTGCCTCTGCCTTCCGAGTGCTGGGACTGAAGACATCTGCTACCACTGCTTGGCTTGGAGGCAGAGGCAGGTGGATCTTTGTGAGTTCGAGGCCAGGCTGATCTACATAGTAAACTCCAGGACAACCAGGGCTGTGTAGAAAGACCCTGTCTCAACAAACAACAAACAAAAAGAAATGACCAGATGGAGCCTAATCCAGCGCATCCCCCACTTGCCGATTCTCCCTCCACAGCCAGGGGCAGCAGCTGTCCACGGAGTCCCTGCAGCAGCTGCTGGAGCGTGCGCTGACCCCGCTGGTGGATGAGGTGAAGCAGAAAGGACTGGCTCCTGCCTGCCCCAGCTGCCAGAGGCTACACAAGAAGATTCTGGTACCAGGGGCCATGGGTTGCCAGGACCCAAGTTACTTTTGTGTTTGGCAGGGTGTGGGGAGCCCCGGCTCAGGAATCCTGCTGGCCTGTGGCAGGAACAGGAGGCCTGTGTGGGAGCAGCAGGTCTTGCCTCTGTGCAGAAGGAGGACAAAGAGCTTAGTGGCTGCCCAGTCACAACGCAGGGACAGACTCTGGCCTAAAGCATCATAATGCACTGGGGCTGGGATATCATGGAACATACGAACAGATTCCACTCTACAGCTCATGGAACATGGGCCTGATTTTCTGTAGCCCCTCAGGGAGGTCACTGGACTCAGAGGAACCCTTGATGCCAGACTGGGGGGACCACTTATACAAGTCAAGCTCTGTAGCTGTTAGAACTTGAGGCCTGATACGTTGTGGGACATAGAGAGCCAGTGCATGATACTGGCCTATGGGATGTTGGGATATAAATTATAGTGAACAGCTATAGGAATACATGGGAGGTCATGGCCTGGTGCACTGTGGGAATACAGAGGTTAGTGCATGATGGGGTGATGGGATATGAATTGTAGTGAGCTGCAGCCCCAATACATAGGAAGTCACAGGGCATGGTGAATTGTGGGATATAGAACACTATAATGCTAGGGACCATTCTTGTGACCAAGGCAGACATCACAAATACTTGGTCTTAAGAATAGGGGATATAACACTGGGCGGTGGTGGCGCATGCCTTTAATCCCAGCACTCGGGAGGCAGAGGCAGGCGGATCTCTGTGAGTTCGAGGCCAGCCTGGTCTACAGAGCGAGATCTTGGACAGACTCCAAAACTACACAGAGAAACCCTGTCTCAAAGAAAAAAAAAAAAAAGAATAGGGGATGTAGAAGGGCACCATGCTTGGATACACACAATACAGGACAATTCATAGGCATTAGGGGCACAGTACTTCAGATGCAACTCAGCTTGCTTGGGACACAGGCCAGTGCATTAGGGACATTCACAGGCTTCCTGTGAGATGCAGGTGGGGAGATCAGTGGGATGCCCTAAGCTCAAGGCCTGATGGGTTACTTTGGGTGGTGTGCAGGCTCCATGGGACCCTGCCCCTTGCCCTCCGCGACCCAGCTCCCCCTCCACCCCCAGCCCAGTCCAGTAAGCCCAGCGGCGCCTACACTCCTCTCCCCAGGAGCTGGAGCGCCAGGCCTTGGCCAAACACGTCAGGGCAGAGGCCCTGAGCTCCACCCTTCGGCTGGCCCAAGACGAAGCCGTTCGGGCCAAGAACCTACTGCTGACGGACAAGATGAAGCCGGAGTGAGGACGAAGGCAGAGGGCATGGGAGGAGGGTGAGGTCTCCGGATGGGGCCTGGCTCCTCCTCCTCTGGCCCCTCACCTACCCTGGCCCCCAGCCGGGCCTCCCCAGTGCTGACCCCCGGCTGACTGTCATTACAGGGAGAAGGTGGCCACTTTGGACTATATGCATTTGAAGATGTGTTCCCTCCACGACCAGCTCAGCCACCTGCCACTTGAGGGATCCACGGGGGCAATGGGGGGAGGAAGCACTGGAGCGGCGCCCCCTAAACGTGGGGGCCCAGGCTCTGAACAATAAATGGCCTCTCATGCTGGCATGAATTCTGACTCTGAATTGCATCAAAAAGTAAAAATATAATCGTCGGGTGTGGAGACGAGAGGATTTCCATGGGATCCGGGATAGCCTAGGTTACACAGTGATACCCTGGCTCAAAAACAAAACAGGGAAGGACGGATGCGGTTCAAACGGTAGCGCTCCTGCTGAGCTCGCCTGAAGTTCTGGGAGCCATCCAGACACCCACCTGTACACACCGGCAACACCAGACTAGTCTACGCAGAAAATTCCAAGTCAGCTTGTGTGTTACGTGAGACCCTATCTCAAAAGAACGAAGAAGGAGCCGTGCGGTGGTGGCGCACGCCTTTAATCCCAGCACTCGGAGGCAGAGCCAGGAGGATCTCTGTGAGTTCGAGGCCAGCCTGGTCTACAGAGCGAGATCCAGGACAGGCACCAAAACGACACAGAGAAACCCTGTCTCGAAAAGGAAAAAAAAAGCGGGGGGGGGGGGCGGCTGGAGAGATGGCTCTGTGGTTAAGAGCACTGGCTGCTCTTGCAAAGAACCTGAGTTCATTTCCCAGCACCCACATGGTGCCTCAGAAGTATCTGTAACTCCAGTTCCAGGGGATCTGACGCCCTGGGCGGGGGAGGTGCATGCCTTTAATCCTAGCACAGCCAAGGCTACACAGAGAAACCCTGTCTCGAAAGTTTTGTTGGCCCTCAGTCCCTCAGGTCTTAGGGAGAGTCCCTCACCCCATTTTGCAAATGAGGTTGATAAAATGATGACCCACCAATTCCCAGAGGCATCTGGTTGAGAGTAAAGCCCTGTTACTGTTTTTGATTTTGTTTTGCTTTGCTTTGAGACAGGGTTTCTCTGTGTAGCTTTGGCTGTCCTGTGTAGACCAGGCTGGCCTCAAAGAACTCAGAGATCCCCCTGCCTCTGCTTCCAGGGCACTGGAATTAAAGGTGTGACACCCCCATGAGACTGGACCTTACTATGTAGCTCAGGTTAGCCTATCTGACTTGATTTTCAATAATGGGACACAGTGACATGTATCTGCGATCCCAGCATCTGGGAGGCAGACACAGGGGGGTCAAGAGTTCAAGATCACCCTCTGCTACACAGTAAGTTCCAGAGCAGCCTGCCCAGACTACATACTACCCTGTCTCAAGCCTCTCCTCATAGGAAAAGAGCTGCTGTTGAGACCTTCATCTGAAGATGGTCTAACGGGCCTTTGGTGTTGGTCAGCAGGGACTGGACTCAGTGGGAAGATCTGACTGGGCAGGGCTGGCCAGGGAGTCTGGGGTGGAGCCTGCTCAGGTGGTGTGGGCTATGGTTAAGGTGAGGACAGTGGGAATCCAAGTTGGGGTGGAAGGGGTGCCCCATGCTCCCCCACCCCACCGACACCCTGCACAAGAGCACAGTGAAGGCCACACCCAACTCAGGTCTCTTTATTACCGGGTGGGTGTGGGGATCCCCAGTACCCATCTGTGCCAGCCTAGCTCTGGGAACAGCTCACTCCTTCCTGAGGGAGACCAGCTCCCTGCTCAGGGGCTCAAAAGTTGGCGGAGGTTGTGGGGACCCTGGGGTCCACAGTCTTACTGGAGAGAAAGCCACGCCTACAGCCCGAGTTCTCCCCAAGGCCCCTGAACCGGCACTTGAGATGCTGACCGGCCTGGAACAGGGAGGCTACATCCAGCAGTGCATCCTCGATGTGCTGGCCCAGCCGGTGCGAGTCCTGCGGAGAAGCGGACAAGGAACTGGGGGGACTAGGAGATCTGGGGAGGAGGCTAGACCAGGGGCCCCGGGATCTGAACGGCTCCATCCCAGATTTTGGGGGGTGAGGAAGGCACTCAAGTTCATCTCACTGTTTTTGTGCTTGATTTCTTGCTGGAGATGTGGAAGGTGATCATGTTTTCCCCCATGAAGATATAGGAGATGCCGTAGCCATGGTCAGTGGCCTGGAGTGGGGAGAGTGAAGCAAGCCTGTAGCCCGGCCCCTCCTCCACACCTACAGGGCACCAATCCCCCTCGCCGCTCCCTGGCTGCCCAGTGGCTGGGCCACAGTCCACTCACAGGCCCAAATCCACCTCCAGAGGAAACATAATCTGGATAATCGTGGACGTCAAACAGGTGCATCTGCTGTACCGGGATCTGGCTGGTGGACAGCGGCCACTGCTGTGACTGGACCTGAGGGTAACCGGTGATCACGTGAGCAGAAAAGACTCCCTTTGCTCCACTGCAAGCCAGACCTCCTCCTATGCCAACTCCTCCAGTCAGTGGCTGTCCTCCGACGCCCCCTTCCTCCGTAACCATGCCCCATCTCCCTGACCCCACCTTCCCTCCTCTTCGCCTCCTTTCCTACTGCGTTCCTCCTCCTCCCTTCCTTATGGGGCTAGGGACTGACCCCGGGACCTCTACCACTGAGCCATGCCCAGCACCTCAGTGGGGGACTCTGGACTGGTGCTCTGAACCCCACCCCACCCCCAGCCCCTCTGGCAAGGCTGCCTCTACCCACTCTTCTTCCATACCACCCTCCTTGCTCTTAGCTCCTCCCTCCTCCTGCCATTTCCGCTTCTCCTTCCTCCTGACCTGGGTCAGGAAGGGCGACTGCATATGGAGCAATCGAGACGTGATGTAGAGTGCGAAGAGGTGGCGGTCGATCCCCTGCCCACTCATGGCCGCCTTCAGCAGAGCCTGGTGCTTGTCCACGGCCACCCGGAACAGGGCAAGGCACTGTTGGTCCTAGGCCCCCGGGGCAGCAGGAGGTCAAGGGAGGACAGGACGCGGGCTTACTTAGGTGACCTAGATTACGCTGGGCCTCACGCCAACTTCCAAGATGCCTACAAGGCAGGGGTATCCACCCTGCTCTACAGAGAGGAAGTGGGCTCAGAGAGGGGAAGTGACTTATGCAGGGTCACACAGCCACGGATCATGGCACGTGCCTGGCTTGAGGACCTTTAAGCTCTCTAGTGAGCCACAGCGTCCCATGGCTAAGGGAGCTGGCTTTGGGAACAGGCGGAGGCCAGCGGGGAGCTGCTTAGAGCAGAGGCTGTAAGCAACGTGAGGCATGGTGTGATGGAGGTCATGGTCACATGGCTTCACAGCGGCTAGAGTGAGGAGAGCAAGAGAGTGGAGCCGGAGTTCTCTGCTGAGTTCCCCAGCACTGCGTGTCTCCCCCAGAAAGCCGGTCTGTCGCTATTCCCAGATCCTGGCCACAAGTATGTGCAAATGTGAACACAAATGACCGGGACCCCAGGAGGCCACACTCACTGTCTTCTCCTTGTCTTCCATGGCTCTCACAAAGTGACAGGCCTCTCTAGTACAAGACCTCACAGTCTCTGTCCTGCCTTCCAGGAACAGTCGGCTCATGGCTGACTCATAAGTCAGGCAGAACTGACCCCTGTCCTGGGGAAAAGGAGAAGAACCTGTCAGCTGGCCTCAGGATGTCTAAACAGCTTTGATCCACCTTTGTCCTGACCTCCAACCAACCTCCTCCTATGTATGGAGAGGAGTCAAGAAGGCTGACCCACAACAAGATGGCTGACCCCAAATATGGCTGACCTACAACAAGATGGCAGACCTACAACAAGATGGCAGACCTACAACAAGAAGGCTGACCTACAACAAGATGGCAGACCTACAACAAGATGGCAGACTTACAACAAGATGGCAGACCTACAACAAGAAGGCTGACCTACAACAAGATGGCAGACCTACAACAAGATGGCAGACTTACAACAAGATGGCTGACCTACAACAAGATGACAGATCCTAAATATGGCTGACCCACACAAGATGAATGATCCAGAATACGATGGCTGATTCACAATGAGATGATCAACCTACAACAAATGACTGACCTACCGGACTTGGTGGCGCACACCTTTAATCCCAGCACTTGGAAGGCAGAGGCAGGTGGATCTCTGTGAGTTCGAGGCCAGCGAGTGATACAGTGTAAGACCCTGCCCCCTGCCCCCCTCAAAAGGTTGATCGGAAACACAGTGAATGACACATAAGATGGATGAACAGATGACCCACGATGACAAAAACAAGAGACAGGAGAGGTGGCTGGAGCGGGTGTGGAAGGCCCAGAGGGAGCAGGCACCGTGGGTACCCACTGACCCGGAAGTGGGCCAGCTGCAGGACCAGTTGGATGAAACTGTCTGAAGAGACGTGACAACGTTTGATGAAGCTCTTGCCGAAGTGGGAAAAGGGGAAGACGTGGCAGTCGACGTTACCAGACAAGGTCTTGGCTCCCCTCAGGGCCAGAGAGATGGACGGATGGATCTGCCAGAGAAGGAGGTGGGGGAGGGGCTGCTGTTAGACTCAGGGCAGAGGTAGAGCTGTGGGGCGGACAGTGGTGGAGCGGGCGCCACTGGGATGCGGCCCGGCTGAGATGCACCGAGCTGGATGAGGTCTGAAGGGACCAGGCACGCTGGCTTTGGAGTCTGAAGTTCAGGTAGGGCTACGGCTGTGGGACAGCCCCACCTGGGAGAGCAGGTGTGGGGACCGGAGGCAGGGGTGGGGCCGGGATTAAAGATGGGATGGGTGGTGGGGACGCAGTTAAAGTTTTGGGGTGAGGTTGGGTTGGGGGTAGTGTGGGACTCAAGGCGGTGGGTGTGTTTGGTGTGATATAAAGCTGGGACAGGAAGGTGTGGATGGATTCAGGGGGAAGGCGAGGGGCGTAGAGGGGAGGTCAGAGCCCAGCCTCACCTCTTCTGGAAGGTCCCACTGCAGGCGCTGGGGCTGGGGCAGAGCGGGGTCAGGCTGCCCCTTACAGTGGCCGTCTGCTGCATATCCCAACTGGAAGCATTCTGTGGCCAGCGTGAACTGTGGATGAAACTGTCCGTTATCCCCCTCCGGCAGAGAGAGAGCTAAGCAGGGCCCAGCGCGGCGCAGTGAAGGATTCTGGAACCCAGCGGTGTGGAATGTTTGAAGTATGCACTGACGAGCATCTGTCAGCCTTCTGGGTTCACGTTTCCACCTCTCTCAGCTGCCTTATAAAGACGGGATCAGTGGACCCACTTTCTGTTTCATTCTGAA